TTTTTTAAAAATCTGATGTGTGGATCACATGATATTTCAATTTTTCTAAGTTCCCATTATAGGCCTTCTGCACTGTAGTTTGTGTATAAAGAGATTCTTTATATTGCCATTCCGATTTATTTTGACCTCTTATAATTTCCTTTAATTTCTATATATATATTCATTAGTATGGAATTCTCGAAATTGATATAAATAAAATTTTTCTTTAGCAAATTTTTCAAAAAGGGGCGTTATAAGCTTTCTATCACATTTTTTATGACGCATCATACCAACTAATCTAATGTGACAAAATGTTATATCTATTCAGTTCGAATCTAAACAATACATATAAGATATTTTTCCATTTTGTATAATGCGGTAAGTACACTTTGTATAATAAAGTGTGTACTAAATTTGGACGCGACCAGATGCGTGGTACGAAGTGAAAATAAAATTCTAGATTATAAAAAATTTTAACCTTCAAGTTTACGAATGCACACTGCTCCATTATAACACATTTTTATCAAAAAATAAGGTTTATCCTGAATAGTTTAGATAATATCTGTCAGAATCAGAAGTATTTTTGGCGAACACGCAATTAAGGTGGCTGTAAAATTGCATTTCAATGGATCAAATTCTGAGCTTGCAAACTAATGACTATTTTTTTCGTACAGATTTTCTTTCTAAGAAATTTATATTACACTGCAAAAAGGCAGACAATATCAAAATTTAATTTGAAAAATAATCGGCAAAAATCAAAATTTAATGTGTGGAATCCCCCAATACGATTTATTGGTTGATCAATATATTTTAAAAATGGCGTCTACTAGTTTCGAGTCATTTTCACAGCTTATTAACAATTCACCAAGTTTAGTTTGGCACGAAACCTTTTTACCGTTAAATATTTTAACTACATTACATGCAATCTATATAACTTTAAATTATAAAAATAGTTTAAAACATTCCAAAGTGCCTTGGTTACAAGGTTTCTTTGCTGTAATTGTAATGAGTGTTGGAGGAAGTACTTCTAGTGGTAAGCAAGTATTCACCAAGTTTTTTTTTATTTTTTGATCTTTAATGCCTTTGAGATTATTTTTTTAGCAATACTTTGCGGAGAAGCACCAAAATGGCTTTCTTCAAATGTAACAATTACAACTTATTTGTAAGTTTATATATATAATTGATTTTTATTTTCAAGATAAAAAACAAAAATATTAATCTTTTTTTAATATTTTTTCACATAGTTTGATATACACTTTGATGTTTTACTTTCAACCATTTTACCGATTAAGCAATTTAATTCCGAATAATATCATAAATCCAATATTATTAATTGCTGATGGAATCCTACGCGGATATTCAATCTGTTTGTTAGGAATAGATAGTATACGTTACGATTCTCGTAATAAAGATCCTGATTTAAGCAATAGTTTGGTAGCAATGATATTATGTGGTGAGAATTAAAGTTTCGCCGGTTGGGCAATATGGCCTGTATTGGCAAAATTTTAGTTATATAATATAATAATAATAATAATAATAATAATAATTAGGAATTTTATGTGGCTCTGGTGGTTCTATATGGACATCTGCTTTTAAACTAGGATCACCTTTTTGGTCATTTACAACTCCTTCAGTACTTTTGCAACCAAGTTATGATATGAAATCTAGTTTCTTGCTTTCTTTATTTTATATTTCAACAACAACTACTTCAACGCTTACTATAGATCAAGGACGAACTTTTTCAATTTTATTAGCAATTGCATTTAATCTTGTTAAATTAAAAGAACTTAATGAATCTTCAAGTCTTAGAAAACTTGAGGATATCGAAAAAGAAGACATTAAAATGGAAGACATTAAAATGGAAAACATTAAAAAAAAACAAAAATCTCATAAACGACTATACAGTAGAAACGAACATTTTGATGATGATACAGAATCAAGAACTTCTGAGAAAATGCGTAAAACTGAAGAGATTCAACGTGAACGTGAAAAAACTTTGGAAGAGCTTGGCATTATGGTGGAGAAAAACGCAGTTGGTGTACATCTTCCAAAGAAAATCCCACATCTTGTTAATCTCAATGAAGATCCATTGATGTCAGAATGTTTAGTTTATCAAATTAAAAATGGTATAACACGTGTTGGCAAATCTGAAGCTGAAGCTCCGGCTGATATACGTTTGAGTGGTGAAAATATTATGGATGAACATTGTTACTTTGAAAATAAGGATGGTGCTGTAACATTGCATCCATGTACAGACAGTTTAACAATGGTAAATGGAATGCGTATAACTGCACCTGAAAAATTAAATTCGGGATTTCGTATCATTCTTGGAGACTTTCACGTGTTTCGATTTAATAATCCTGAAGAAGTTAGAAAAGAACGTGCTAAATCAAAGCAACTCAGTATTAGTATTGCTAATAACGAGGATGGATTAAGACGACCAGATTCACCCACATCTCTTATGTCAGAAGCTGTTATAGATTGGAATTATGCAAAACGGGAGGTGGCTCTTAATTATTTAAATTCTGGTGGTGACAACTTAAAATTCACAACTTTACCTGATGAAGATTTACAAAAACTTATGGAAGACATTAAGAAAATACAAGAAGCTCGTAAACGACCTGACAGTAGAAACGAACATTTTGATGATGATACAGAATCAAGAACTTCTGAGAAAATGGGATCAAATGGTACATATGAGACATTTGACACAAATTATAACGGATTGGCGCAATCTGAAATTGTTGAAGAAAAAGTCAAACCGTTTAAAGAAGAAATTCAACAACAACTTGAATTGCAAAAACAAGAATATGAAGAAAAGATGAAAAAAATTAACGAAGCAGATGAATTAAAAGCCGAAAATAAACAGATTGAAGAAAAACTTAAGATGGTTCAAGATGAAATGCATAAACTTCAAAACATTTCACAGAATCCTTATGAAGATTATAGCAAAGCACGACCAGGAAAATCAACATATACCGAAGAAGAATTGCGTCTTATTAGGATGGCTGTCAAGAAATGGAGGCATCAAAGATATGTTTACATGGCTGAGACTTTACTTAGTAATGCAGTCATATTGAAAGAGGCTAATGTTATAAGTAAAGAACTTGATAAAAAAATTCTTTATCAATTTACCATTATAGAAGATGAACCATTTACAAATCCAATTTCATCTTATGAAAGTACGTCAGCATTAAACCAGTATAATAACAATGAGGACACTTCACTACACGCGTCTAAAAAACCTTGTGTAGGAGTGAAAGTTATTGACTTTAAAAATGGAGTTGTATATGTCTGGTCTTTGGATAAACTCAAAACCCGCCTTCAGAAGATGCGCAACTTGTATAATTTTATAGATCGTCCTCAATACAGTAGACATTTTAATTGGGAAGACCCATTTTATGAAAATCCTTTACCTCATTATACCTTTATAGGAAGTGCTTCCATTGGTCTAACAAGTTTAATATATAAAACTGAACATGAACATAAAACACCAGTGATTTGTAGATATTCTGGTGATGTATTAGGTTATTGCAGAATTCTTATCAAATATATTGCAGATTTTTTAGATAAATACAATGATGGCAAAGATGGCAAAGATGCTAAAGATAATGATAATAATAATTTAATCAAAGATAAGCCAAATGAAACATCAAGTAAATTGTTGATTGGATACAAAGTTGTGTTTGAGGTCAAAATACTAGAACTTACTGGAATTTCAGAGTCACAATTTACAGATGTGCATGTGCAATTCAAACATTCATCATTTGGAAATGAATCAAGTGGGGTTTTGGCTACTAACATCATGTCAGACTTTGGAAATTTACCAATTAACCTTAATTATGAACAAACATTTAAAATGATAGTATCGCCTGAGATGATAGATATATTTACAAATCGAATGTTAACATTTGAAATTTTTGGACGTGCAAAGCAATGTGTTTTAGAAGAGATGAAAAAATGGGATGATCATAAAGAGAGACCACTTTATAGAGGCATTAATGGACAGGTTCACGCAGATTCTATGGTTACAAGAGAACGTCATTCTGAGAATGAACTTGTATCAGAAGAAAAACATGACGTTGTAGCTTGGGTACAAGTTTGTGAACTTGCCCCTACAGGAGAATATGTTCCAGTTCAAGTACTTACACAAAATTCTCTAGATCCTGGGGCATTTTTCTTAAGACAAGGACTACAACGTCGAATAATTCTAACATTGACACATAATTCAGGCAGACTATTCCCTTGGAATAAAATAACAAAAATGGAAATTGGACATGTAAGATTATTAAATGGAAAAGGGGGATTGTCAGAGTCTTCAGTTCAAAATGATGTTCAAATGAATTTATTGCCACATCAACCTGTTCATTTTAATAGGGATGGTACTAGTGTGATTGTTGCACAAGCGTCATGGGACAGTACACTTCATGATTCAATATTTTTGAATCGAATAACAACTTCTAATAGTCGTGTTTTATTAGGATTAACATGGTATGTTGAGGCTGAAAAATGTGTAGAACCCATAACATTTCACATGGATATTGCAGTTCAAATCCAAGGACGTGAAGCAAAACCACCATCAAAATTAACACAATTGATAAGTCAATCAAAAGTGTTATGGAAAACCAGCGGACTATTTTCCATTACACTTAAACCACCAATGACACGTAAAATTTCTGAGCTTTGGCGTCTCAATACGGCCAACAAATATGTACGTGGAGAAGAATTTTTAGGAGATTGGAAATCACGTGGTGTTTCATTAGTTAATGATTACAAAATGATCAGTGAGACAATAAGAAGAAAAGAGGCAGTTGAACATACAAAGCAAGTAATTGCGTTATTAGAAGCTCGTAATAAATTAACTTCAAATGAAAAAACGAATAAATGTGATCCTACAGAGCTAACCAAAAAGACCCTAACACTTTGGAGGAAGAAGTGGGGATTATCCAAAGAGGTTTTTATTTAATTTAATCGGAATTTTTATTTAATTATTTAAATATTTTATTGTTGGTTTACATAAAAAATGGTTTATTTTATAGATTGTTATAAATCAAGAACCACCACTTTCAGGACCATGCACTGATATAGATTCATCAAGATGTTCTAAATCAGAAAAATTGGTTGCACAAGTTTGCATGGTTTCCAAAATGTATATATTACTATTAATTTATTAGCCTTTCACTACTATGGTTACTATAGTTATTATTATTATAATTGAAAAAAAATATATGCTAATTATTATGTTTTTGATTATTTTTGTTGGTAATAAAGTGACACAATAACCAAGAAAGGTTGTTTATCTACTCCGGAAAATTCAGATGATTTTTGGGTGAAACGTTGGTATGTCTTAAGAAGGTAATGTTGAAACTTTTACTTGGTATTGATTGATTGAATAATAGATATAATTCTAATATATTAATCTTTGTAAACATTTAATCAATATTTTTTTTTAAAAGACCATACTTATTTATTTATGAATCACAAAAAGAAACTGAAGAACAAGGTGTAATAAATCTTGCATCTGTTAGAGTTGATTATAAAAAAGATTTAGAAAATATGCTTCAAAGACAAAATGTATTTGCTATTTATACTAATAATAATGCATATATATTACAAGCATCATCAAGGCAAGATATGATTGATTGGATTTCCAAGGTTATTATTTAATTATATATATATATTATTATTGTCATGATTATTAAAGTTTTTAACTAATAATTTAACACTTTTTGCTAATATTATAAAAAATAGATTGATCAATTTTATCAAATATCATCTTTGGAATAAAAACTCAACTTTAATTAAATTATTTAATTATCGTTTTCGCATTTTTAGCATTTTTATTTTATTTTATTCTTACTTTTTTTTTTATTAGACTTTTTATTTTATTTTTATTATTATTTATTATTAGATTTTTTTTTAAAAAAATTTGTATGTATTATTTTATTTATTCATAACTACCTTTCATCCAACTTAGTAATGAAATCTGATGACTTATTTAACATTATTGACATTTCACTTCTCATTGAAGGTGAATCCGTTGTATATACATATAGTATAATATGTGTCTTTATTCAGTAAATATGAAAGAAGATATGAATTCTTAGAAAAAATAAAAAAGCGAGATGGGGATTAATAATATTAAAATATTCTTTTATCTCTGAATGAGGTGATGGACGAATCAATTGGATCGTCTTCATAATACATATATAATATACATTTATCCTTAATGTTTATGCGATAATTCATGTATATGATTTGCATAAATTTGTTTTTTATTTTCTTTGATGGGTTAGGTCGCTTCGCAAAATTACAAAGTACAAATTTTAACAATTACTCTTTGTTAGTTGTTGAATGATTTTCTTTGCCCTTTGATTGTCAGTAACCATTTTTTTCTTTCACGCCTTTTTTTTTATTATTAAAATAAGCCATATTTTTCCTTGTGAAGTTACTTTTAAATTGGATAATTTTATTTATTTAATTATTCATTATTAGATTTTTTTTTTAAAAAAAATCAAAATAAAATATAAAATATGATAAAATCTATTTAACAAAAAATTAGAATAAAAGAAATAATTAAATAATAAATATATATATATATATACGTGCGCGCGCGTGTGTGTGTCATTCTTTAAAGGGAAAAAGATATTTACTTGTCTTTAAAATAAAGGAAAGAAAAAAGATTAAATGAATAAATGATTAAATACTTGGTTAAATGATTAATAAATAAATGATGAATTAATGAATGTACAAAAAAAGTATATGTATATATATATATATATAAAACATTTCCTCAAATTATTTTACAAAATAATTAATTTTCTGAAAAGAATACCTTTGACTGACTAATTAAATTTATAGATTATTAATTGGTTATTTAGTGTATCTTTCCTTTAGAAGACAAGCACTTTTTTTGGGGTTTTTTTTTAGCAACAAAGGTTTTTTGATAATAAATTTGTAAAAATTATTATCCTCATTACGAAATTGACGGTTTATTATTATGGTTATTGTTGTGATTGTGATTGTTGTGATTGTTGTGATTGTTGTGATTATTGTGGTTATTATTATTGTTGTTGCTGTTGTTATTATCGTTACTACAACCTTTAAGTGCAGAAAGTTGTTGTCTTAATGATTCAATTTCTTTATGTGATTCATCTTGATTCTGTTTTAAATTATTAATATAATCCACCGCTAAAATTGACATTAAAAATAATAATAACAAATTAAAATTAAAATTAAAATAAATCAATAAATTTGTTTTAATTGATCATAATAATATAATAATAATAGATCATAATAATAATAATAATAATAATAATAATAATAACTATTATTATTATTTAATTCTTTCACCTTTGCTTAAAATTTCCCATTTACTTGTTTTTAAACTTTTATCAACAGGTAATGAATCTCTAAGTTCATCAAAAAGTTCCTTCATCTCTTTCCTTCTTTTACGTTCAGCAAGTTTATGAGATATCCGTAGCTCGGGCGAACGTGAATAAGGCGTTTCTTTAACAAGTTGTTGTGGTTGAATATATCCAGGGGAATACTCGTATGCATAAGGATGATATGCATGATGATGATGATGTTGTGGTGAATAAACATTGCCTCTAAAACGATCAATGTCCATAGGAATAGTATTATTACCACCACCACCGCTACTACTACTGCTAGTGCCACCATCACCACTACTGTTACCATCTTGAATGTGGTCTGAAAATCTTGAACCAAATGGCATGATAGGCATAGAAGCTCTTCTGGCTAATATTGGAGCATTTTCATCATGAACAATTTGCGATAATCTAGGGTTATTAAAATGATGTGATGTTGACGACGACGATGAAGAAGATGGTGTTGGCGGTGGTGGTTGTGGATATGAATCATTATGTTCTGATAAATGAGATGAGGATGATGGTGGTAATCCGTTATTGCTAGTTGAATGATCTGATGATAAATCATCATAATGATGAGGATGATGCGAATGATGAGAAGAATTATTATGATGACGATGGGAAGAATTGTGATGGTTGTGATTAAGTTTGGGTAATATATTACTATTGCCATTATTATTGTTGTTGTTGTTGCTGCTGCTGCTACTATTGTTATTGTTGTTATTTATATTGTTAGTATTATTTGAATTAGATGATAAAGAAGGAAGTGCAGGAGGGCTAGAAGGAGCAGAATAAGAACTTCTACGATCATATAAAGACAATCTTTGTATAGCAGGATCACCGATCGATTCTCTACGTTTTACTGGATAATCATCAGCAGTTATTTGATGATGGTGATTAATAATACTGCTACCACCATTATTACCATTACTACTGTTACCACCACCACCACCACCATTTCCACTGAAACTATTAATACCACCACCAATATTATTATTGGGTGATGGTAATGGTAATCCGCTGATTGTACTTTTTCTTTTGAGTGGAGAAACCACCTCACCTACAGCAATAGAATGACGTCTTGTCTGTAGTTGTGCTTGAAATGCAGGATTCATTAATGAACCAGGAAAACCATCTCTTACGGGACTTGGACTTGCACTTATTGATGGCAAAGTTGAATCTCTTAGTTTACGTGATTCCAATGAAGAGAATAACTGATGATCACTTTTAACAGATGATGGACGTGATAAGGTGGATGATGGCGAGAGAGGATATTGATCTACATTTGCCAAAGAACTACGACGTTCGGATGAATTTGACGAAAAATGAACATCAGGTTGTGAATATTGCCTTGATAATTCAGGATTTGGAACCGATAAATGTAGCGAAGGATCTGTTATTGAACCACGTCTTTGAGTATTTAAATATGATGGTATGGAAGGATGTTGTGGTTCTAATGGAGCGAGAGAACGAGAAAAAGGATCTTTTGTTGGGGAAGGAATAGGAGGTGGTGTTAATGATGATAGACTTATGTCTGTCGATGATGATGACGACGACGTTGTCATTGTTGTTGTTGTTGTTGTTGATAGTGAAGAAGTTATTGGTTTATAGGAAGTTTTATTGGAATCGTGAGGTGGAGTTGGATTGGGAAAAGAGTATTTTGATTGAGACATTTGTAAATATATTTTGTTAACTGGTGGTGATATTATTAATTTTAAAGTTGAAGACGTGTGATGTGATAATAAAAAATAAAAATACGTTCTTTCTTTAAAAAAAGAACTAAATTACTAAAAATTTAAGCTAAAAAAATTATATTTATAATTCTGTAGAAATTATAAAACTAGTTTTGCAAATTTATTCTTCCTTTTTTTTTTTTGGGAAATATAAAACGTTTACTTTGAAGTAATGTTGTATGTGTTATTATTTCTATTATTATTGTTGTTATATTATAATATTAGTGTGGAATTACTTTTGTTGTAATTTTGTTATGGTAATTTGCTGAATATATAATAAATAAATAATAATTATAGAAGTGATAATAAATAATAAATTTCTTGGTCTTTATTTTGAGTGAACATTTTTTGACTCGTGTAACCAAATCTACCTACAAAGAAAAAATATTATTGACTATTTGTTACTTATTTCACACTGTTCCGTTTTTTTTACTTACCAAAAATTATTCATATGCACACTTTTTTTATACACATATATATATACATATATGTACACATAGTCTAATAAACAAGTGTTACGCCGTACAACTTCACGTTTTTTATTTATCATATTCGAGTTTAATTTTGGAATTAAATCGATTAAATTTGGATTTATTATTATTTGTTGCATGATAATAATAATTAAATAGTCAATTATTAAAAAATATTTAAAGATTAAGTCGTGTGCTACTGCATCTCTTTGAGACAATATATTTTGCATTAATTGACAAACTGAAAGATGATCACATTTAAAAGTTCATGGTCTTTGAATAATGCTAATATTGTTTGCACTGACTTTTTAGTTCTTTAAAAATAAATATGAGATGGTTAAGCGTGAGATGATAATAGTGAAAAATAAATAATTAAAACAATAAAAGTTAATTATTAAATTAATTCAATGAATGGAATTAAATTAAACTTTAATTTAACTAGCAATTTATCATATTATTGTTATAATACAATAAATATTTATTTTGCTTACCAAAAATAAACACTGGTATGACGAATAAAAATTAAAAAAAAATGAATGGTGGGTTTTAAAGATCTTGAAGAAAAAAGATATAATTAAATATATATATATAATTCCCTGCATTATCATGATCTTGTTTTAATATATACTATTATATCCCCCACAAGGAAATTAGAAAAAAAAAGAAAGTTATCACTTTTTTGTTCAAACCCTGGAAAAATATAAACGGCCCTTATTTTAATCCATTTTAGTTGTTTACTAATTTACCTTTTTCCTATTATATATTAATATTGTGAAATATTGCATAATAACAACTGGATTTCCAAAGAACAATAAATAATGGTAATTTTAGCCAAAATCAAGTCTCAAAATCATAATAATCAAATCTCCAATTATAAAGATTATGAGAATTTTAATTTGGCTTATAATGATGTCAAAGATCAAAATTTTCATCTAAATCGTTTTTCATCAATCTTGAATATGAAATTTTAGTTTGTTTCGACAGAATAATAATTATTTGGTGATAGTAACATTAATTCGCCGGTTCCTTTTAATTTAATGATGACTACAGCGTGCCCAATATTATAACATTCATTGTTCAAAAAAATTCATCCTGAGTGCCACCTAGAATCAGTTTAAATTCATACGGCAGATTCTTTGGAAATCCAATTGGAAATTAAAATCCTCGTTTTAAATTTAATAATTTCCCTCCTTTTGTTCTTGAGCCTTTTGAATAATTAATTTTGGTCGATATTGAAAAATTTCTTTATCGAAAACTTTCTTTGTAAGGTTTGATTTATCATAAAAATATATAGAAGAAATATCATCAATGGAATAAGTTCATTCAATAAATTTTTAAATTTTTTGAAATCTTCTTTATTCCATTCTGAAATTTGTTTTTCCAAATATTTATATCGCCCTCTTTCCCTATTGAATGACATGATTCCAAAGGATCAATTCTAGCCCATCTTTTTTCAATATGGATATAAGCATTGGTTTTTTAATTGCCATCATATCATCAGATTTCAAAAATAATGATTTTTACATGCAAACGCATTAAAATAATTTTGAAGTAAATGGAATGATTGAAATTTTATAAAGATTAACGAATCCATCCATTCTTGTTAGATGATTAAATAATTTTGTAAATTTCATGAAAATTCAGTTCACCGCATGCTTCAAAATCAAGATTATCTATATTTACTGTTCCATTCTAAGCATATCTTTAAAAAAATTTTTTTTAACAAAAATAAAATTAATGATAGCTTATATAAAAAAAAATTTGATACAATTAAAATGACTGGAGAAAAATTTTTTTCTCGTGAATATTTATACCATCTTCGGATCTTTTTATCTAGTTATTTGAGAAAGTCATTTTAAAATATGAAGACCTTGCTTTCAATATATTGGAATGAGCTCTAAAAGTTTTAACATTTTGATCTTCTCCAACTCTAAATTCTACGTCATACAAGTCTGACCCATAGAACAATTTTGTTAAATCATTTACAAGCTAACATTTATATTTTAAAGCTAAAGTATCTCGGTCAGAATTTATAACGTTGTTTAAATGAAAAATTTTGGAAGGTGAGTATGAAGGTATTTTACTGTGTTACGCGTCACATTTAAAAATAATTACCGTATTGTCTGGAATGTAAGCACCACTTGAATATAAGCATCTGCAACAACAACAAAAAAACAAAAAATGGGAAAATAAATATAAACACCACATATATTTTTATTATTCTTTTTTTCTCTTGTAATTAATTATTTAATTCATCAATAAATTTTAGATCAACAACGTTTTATCTGTCAAAACAATTCTTTTTTATATGAAAAAAGAAATTAAATAAACACTGAATTGTTTATTTGTTTACCTGTTAATAAAATTGATTTTTGAATTTTATTTTATTTATGTAACAAATGTGTATAAAAACCTGATTTTTATGCAATATGAAAATATATAACACGAAAATTTTTTGTGTCATCTTTTTCCTTATTATTATTTTTTATATTTTACTTTATTTTCTAAATAAATAGTGATTTTGACCAGAGAAATACATTAAAAAACTACATTTCATTCTTAGATTAGTGTTAATAATAATAATGATAATAATAATAATAATAAATAAATAAAATAATCATTTTTTTCTTAGAACAAAAGTTTTCCTGTTATCTTTATATAATTGAAATGTAGTAAAACCAATTCCCTCCCTACTTTTATCATCCATTCGATTATTATCAATACCTAAAAAAGTCTGCTTACTTTTAGAAATCCATTCTTTAAAGATTGCGGTATGTCCGGATGATCCTCTCCAAATCACAATATCTCCTTTTTGAATAATGTTGTCAATGTTTTCTCGAATTTCAATTGCTTCAAATTCTGAAAAAGTCTTTTTCACAACTGCATCATTGACATCTTTGTTTTCATCATTTAATAATTTTTCATAAATTAATTTCATGTGCCATGTACCCAATCTTGCAGAAGAATCCACGCAATAAGACACAAAAGATGAACAATCAAGGCCACGACAAATCGTACCAAAAAAATTACCACCAAAAACATAACCACTGTTAGGCTGATAGAGAATGACTTCATCCTTATTATTATGGTTCTGGCAAAGTACAGTTTTTAAAGCAATGGATTTTTGTTGACTTGATAAAGTGCCAAAAGAAGCGGGATAAATTAAATCAAGAATTCTTCCTTCTCGATCCCATTTCCATTTCCCAGTTAAGAATGCAAGATATATCAAAGCAGTTTTCAGCACAGTAATTTGATTCCCACTAATTGTTGTATTATTAATCTTAATTTTGAGATCTTCGAGTGTAGAAATACTTTCAAGAGAAGAAATTGCATCGTCTAAGATTCCATTATTATAACTTCTTGATAACGATGATGATGATGATGGTTGTTGTCGTTGTTGTTGTCCTATCAGCTTAGTCAGACTAGAGCTTAATGGCCAAAAATCGCCGTCACTGCCAATAGATTCCTTTAACGTTTTAAAGGCCACCTTATCATCTTTAAGTTTATTAATAGTTTTTACTTTTAAATTATTAAAATTAGTTGTCGTTGAACTTTTATCACTATTATTATTATCTAAAAAATTCCATAATTTAAAAAGATCCAATTCGTTTTTGTTATGTACTTCTTCTAAAAGAGTTTCAGCTTTTGTTACGATAATTTCTCCTCTTTTGTTTGAATTAAGCATTCCTTGTTTGTTTGTTTTAATATTTAAACATTTTTTGTGTTACTAAAAAATTTGTGAAACGCCGTTAATAGCCCATTCATTAGACGGACTTTTTGTTGAATATATTTTAATATTAAATACCTTTCACAGATTGACATCTTGATTTTTTGATTGAATGAAACTAATTAGAAATAAATAAATCGGGAGCTAGATATTACGTTTATATGACGAATTATCCATACTTTGTAGATTTTGACTCGTAACCCATTATATGATAATTTTGATATCAAAAAATTAATCGTGTGTGTCACGTGACCATTTCATTTCTTCTAAAAAATTAACTGTTAATAGTGAAAGCTATTTGAGTATTGAGCGAGTGCTTTTGATTCGATGTAATTTGTTGGGTGAACGTATTCCCTTTATTATAATATTGTAATCGAAAAAACCCAGTAAAATTCAATACTATTGCGCATTTTAAAGGCGAATTAAATATCAAGATCAGTTCAAAATAATTTAGCAAGCCCTTTGTTTTAAATTTTATTTGTCAAATTTAGTAAAGTTGTTGTTATTATGTAACAAACAATAATTTTTTTGTAACACACTGTTAATATGAACAACGAGTTTTGGTCTGGTTTAATTTAATGGAATACTAAATATGGTTAAATTATACCGGTGGATCCAATCAATGGACCAACGCCGACCCTGAAGTAAGGTACAGTCAGACTCCTATATAGTCACACCTCGGGACCATAGTAATAGTGAAATTTCAAGAATTTTGGTGACTATAGTGTTTGTGACTATACAAGACATGTTTTTACTATGATTAATTAGTAGCAGGGAATTTTTCAAATTAACAAAAAAATGTGACTATGTTGTGACTATATAGGAGTCTACTGTATGCAAATAAATTGAAAGATTTTTTATTAACAACATATCCACCGATTTGCGCACCCATTTTGGGGTACAAAAATATGGAAAACAATAATCTGGGGATCACATAGAAATTTTCCTAAATTTTTTTAAAATTCTAATTTTGAAAAAAAATTATTATTTAAATTTTTAATAACTTCCTTTATTTGTAGAAAAATTAATGGTTACATTAGAAGAATTTGTAAATTTTTCTATTCCCTTCTACTATTTTTGTTTCCTTCCATACCTTTGCCTCAAAATTAACAATGTCAATGTAGGCAAATTGATTATTATCAAAATATCTAATTGACCAATCCTCATCACCAAGTAAATTTTCTAACCTTTTGTTACCTTCTTCTCCAATGAATGAACTTAAGTACAACCTTCTAGCAGGGGAATATCTTTCCAAATCATTTTTAAAACGCCTAAAAACACACCCTCACTACATGGAATAGTTGATGTCTTTTTCCCTAAACTTTTGTGATGTAATGTCAATTTTTTTTTAATATTGTAAATTAAACTTTCTTTAAATTGTGTCAAGTAGTATTGAACAAGAGAAGGAATATCCACAATATTCAAAGTGTTTTTTCTTTTCATGTTGTACTGAACCATTTTTTGTTTTATATGATTTATTGCATATGATGCAATTTTCCAAGTTGTTGTTATCATCATCATTATTGTTTTCTTGATTAAAATTTAAAAATTTTTTGATTCATAATTGTTAGTTAAAAAAATTATTATATTAAAAAATTTAAAACCTATATTTATAATTCCACCTACAGTTTGTACATGAAAATGAATTTGCAATTCACATGTACAAAATCCAAATTAGCCCATCAGAATTTCACCTCACTCCAAAAAATTAAATGAATTTGTCATATTGCCATAAATATTCAAATCCTATGATTTTTTTATTATTAGTTTATAATCTTACAGGTTTTTTTATTTAATTTTATAATCTTATGATTTTTATCTTTTTTTTTGATTCTTTTTAACATCAGGAAATTTTGAAAGTGTTTATCCATGCTAATAAATGCATTAACCAACACCAGGCTAATGATCACTGTGTAATGATGTTGATAAACTTATTTCAATGCTAAAGGGTCTGTTGATTAAAAATGGAAATAATAAAATCCAATTACCAGGACATAAGTATCTGCCTTTGTTCTTTATGATTCCATTAACTCATTGGGTTCCAGATGAATTACATTTAATGCTTCATATTACTGTCTGACTTTGGAGTCTAATGTTATCTGAAACAAAATACCAAAGTTCTGATCAAATAAGGGAACAAATAAAAAAGAAATGATCAGAATTGGTGTACATTTTGAATTCTGGCAAAGTACAGATTCAAGGAATCGGAATTGTACCAGTCTTATGGATGAAGATAAATTAAAAGTTCTAAAAAATTATAATTTGGAAAGTGTTTTACCTGAAAATAGAGCATTAATTATTCATCAATTGTGGTATGACTTTGATGATCTTTATACAGCCTTACAAGATCTTACAACAAATCCAATTGTTTTCAAAAGTCAAGCAAAATTATGATTGACTAAATTTCTAACACCATCAACTTGAGATCCACATAAAAAAAATTATATAAAAGGATTATATACAAATAATGATGGGACTCCTTATATCTATGTGTTGATTCATCATATGTATGATATTTATGGTGATTTGCCATGATTATAGAATTAAAGCATTTACATGCAGTCCTGTTGAAAAAAAAAATCTTATACAAATAAGTAAATATTTTAGAAAAGTATTGAAAGATGGTGGAAGGGAAAAAAAAACTGTAATTGAAATTTTGGAACATGAGAATCATCTTTTATATTATAATTATAATCAATTAATAAAGTGCCAAAAAAATAACTATAAATTAGATTACCTTTTTACAATTAATTGCATATATATTTTTTTAATTTCTAAAATATATTTTAATTAATTAATTATTTTCATTATTAAAAATATTAAATTAATAAAAAAAAAATTTAAACTTTTGTCATCTTAAATTTTCATCTTCAACAAATAAAACCGTCCAACAGGTGGATATCTTTGAGTGTTGTCTTTAAAAACAATTAGGAATATACCCTCATCACATGGAAAGGTAAATGATTTTTTTCCCTAAACTTTATGATGAAATCTCATTAAAAATTAATGATCCTTTAAATTATGAAAAACAATATTCAGAAGGGTGATAACATTTAAAGTATACTTGTGAAAATTGGAATGTTTTGTGCTTTGTGTTGATTTAAACCATTCTTTTGAGTTATATAAATTGTTGCATATGTCTGAGTTACTACTATGTTCAATATTCATTACTACAATATAAAATTTTAAAAAAAATTAGCAAATTACAAAATTACAAAATAAAATTTCCTTCAACTAACTACTTGCAATCCTATGAGATCCTACTCACTGTATATGTGTATATAAAAAGTGATTGGTTTGGTATTAATAGAATTGTAAAATAGGGATATTTACTCCAAAAATAACAAATTGAGGGGCTAGTTTACATATATCAAGACAACAAAAAATGTGCCAAATTTTTCAAAAATATACCCCAAAAATGGTGTACCCTTGCAGAAATCGGTGGATATGAATCAATTTTAAAAAATCTGAAACTAATAATAAAATAATTTACCTCATTAAGAAATATTCTGTGAATAATTTTTTAATGCCACAATTATGTTTCACTAATTAATACAGTTCATTCTCCCTATAACGGTCCTTCCGTTTATAACAAGACTTTGTTTGTATAAACCATTACGTTAATTTTATTCAATATTAAAGAATGTTGATTGATGCGAACCAAAATCAGGTTTTTGATTTCTCTTTTAATCAATGATATAACCGATAATATAAAAATGAGGTAATAACAATATAAAACAAGAATGTCATCAAAAAAAAATATATTATATTAAAATGATTTTGCTAAAATGGCGAAATATTTATTATTGGGTGAGATAATTAAGATAATTAAATCATACGCTACTAAAATAGCAATAATGACCTTTTAAATGCAAATAAAACCTGGATTATTACATTGAGGTACATCCGAAGTTTTGAGAATTTGGGTAAGGGCTTTTTAAATAAATGGTGTGACTATTTTCGGTATGGTAGAGAATTTTTATTACAAGTTATATCCAAAATCAGGTAAAGCAATTTTAAGTCGTATGAAATTATGGGTAAATACAAAAAATTTTAAAAATAGAAAGATAAATTGTAATTGATATAGAAGATTTCATGCCTTTTCCATTTTAAGAAAATTTTAAATTATTAAATTATTGATATCTTTGAAATGTTTCGTTTTATCTTGGGAAATTATATCAGATTCAGATATGGGTTTATTAAGAATTAATGAAGTGCATCAACAACTATGTTAATAAGATCTTTAGATAAAAATCTATTGGATAATTTTTTCAATAAGGCTTAAGTCAATTATATAATCCAGGAATCCCAGGAGGTTCTTATGCAAATATCGAAACAAGTTTTTTGAGTGCTGGTATTAATGAATGATCTATGTTATTTTCTCCACTACTTGAATAATAAAATACCAATTGTGAGTGTGTGCTTGTATTATCTTTATGATATTATATAATAATTTTGTATAAATAATATCATCATTGTCAGCTAACTCTTCCACATCATTGTTAGTAATTGTTAGTTCCACTATTTTATTTTGTGAGTCAAACTTTCTTCATTTTTTCTATTATTTCATAATCTATCCCAATTGATTGGATTGATTTAGAAATTTTTGTTAATTTGTCAATAAATCTATAACAGTATCTATCAGCAAATCCACAATCTAATTTAACAAGTCCATTAAAGCAATTCATAAATCTATTGTATTTGTATATTTGATGAAGGTCTATCTCAAATGTGCTGAATTCCCTAGTAACTGATGAATGACTTAAATAAACTTTATTAACCTGTTTTGTAAAATGGTTTCCAATTCAGTGGATGATTTTAAAAATTCTTTAAATTTATGTCCATCAGTATAATAGAAATAACTTTTTGTGCAAAAATTGGAATAATTGATCAATGGAGGTTTTTCCAATAGCTCAAAAGTTAGTTTAATGTCTTTTTTGGTCAAGAAATCTTTATCTTCTTGCAATAAACAATTAATTAATATTTTGGTACTATCAAGGGAGTAAAATGGATCCCTCCATAAAATGGGAATACTTATGTTGTGCCATTGTGTATTGACAAGAATACAAGAATACAATGTATTATAATCATTTTCATTATATTTGAATATTCTGGTCAAGAGTTCAGGTGGAAAATTTATTATCAAGAAATGGAAAGATCTCTTCTATTTAAATTAAGTAAATAAAATAATGAATTGCCATTTTTAATTAATTAACTCGAGTGACAACAAGTAGCAATAACCACCACCGCCACTCTTTTGATAAACACTTACCCCTTCTCCACACCATATTTTTCATCATTTTTTCTTTTATTTGTATTTCTTGATGACATATTTAAAAAAACTAGAAAAGCATTGAATGACGAATAATCAAAATGATTATTTTTCATTGTCCAAGATTAAATATATTTTGACTTGTTAAATATTGGTTTTTGCAACAGTCTTCCTATTTTTTTTTCATTTTTAAAGTTTACAAACTTCTAAAAATGTATCTCAATGGTCCCTGACAACTCAGTGATGACATGATCATGGCAGAAATGTTATGATGAACTGATATAATGCATTAGAAAACATTCTGTCAGGAAATGATGTCCTGTAATAGTAAGGGAAACGGTTGTCACACAACCCTGCTCAAGATATACATACAGTATATGTATGCCAAAATAATTTTTTCTCAATAAAATTTGGTTGACATACAAAAAAGTTTGGTTCAAAGCTTTATACAAGACAATGATAATCATTTATGGTGTAGATAGATATATTCATTAAAGGAAAATTTTGTAAATTAATTCCTTTGTCAATTCATGAAAACAGCCCAATTAATTACATTCATTCTATACACTATACATTTTTATTACCAAAATTAATAGAAATGTTCTTGTTCACCATTAAATGCCCCTAAAAAAAAGTTTAGATACTTATTTCCTACTTATTTTCTACTTAATTTTTACAAAACATACTTAAATCAACAAATATTATTCACTAATTATTTGCAAACATGTATGAATATACTTATTTTTTTTATAGTAATAGGAATGTAGATATCTAATTATACACTTAAAATATACCTCTGAATTTTAAAACATACTTATTTTCTTGATTTTGTAATTACTTTATATATCCTTAAAACATACTTGAATTTGAAATACAAATAATAAAATTATTCTTTTCGCATTCAAAGAATTGACCAATCCAATTTCACTTCTGACTGATAAATGAATGTGTATGACTAAATAACTAACGATTTATTTGATTAATTACACAACAAGGATATTAGCATCAAACAAGGTGATGAATACCAGGGAGCAAAATCCTATTATAAAATTCCAGGCACTGATAAAATTTAGAATGTCTAATAAAAAATTTTGGAATAGGCCATTTTCCAACTACACATTTTTAATATCAATGTTAACACAAATTCTTTATCTGAATTATTCGTTTTAGTTTTATTTGAATTGTCCATTTTATTTGAATTATTCGATATTTTTTTGTTTACATGAAATGAAAACTACATCTTGAAACTCTGGTATGAACAACAACGTATGGATCTTTGAGTAATAAATTAGAAATGTTGGTTTATTTTATTTTGTTTAGTGTTTGTATTCATTCGGAATTATTCGGACATTGTCCAAATATCATTCATGTGACTGATATTTGAATATCATGAATATTATTCAAATATCATGAATATCGAATATCGTAGTTGATCTTACTAAAAAAGGAAAAGATAAACATTTAATAATAATAACGTTTTACTATTATTAATATTAACAATACGTGTGTGCATGTTCAAAAAAAAATTTGTTTATTTTACATTCAAGGAAATTAAGGAAATTGTTTATGCATTTATCTACCCTATTACTAATTTGTTATAGAATCTGTTTTGTTATTTCAATTAATATAGCATTGTACTTTTTTTATCTTTAGATTTTCCAAAAGACTTTTAACAATAAAAAAACAATTATTATTATGAATTATCTTGTTTTTTTAGTGGTGATTGAGTGTCTTTACACTTTCAAAAAAGATATGTTGGCTTTTTTTTTGACGGAGAAATCAATTCTGTAGCAATCGAATATCTTTACACTTCAAAAAAGACATGTTGGCTTTTTTTTGACAAAGAAATCAATTCCGTTTTTTTGTAGCGACAAGTATCTTTACATTTTCAAAAAGACATGTTGGCTTTTTTGATAATAAATTGTTTGTTTTTTTGTGGTGATTAAAGACTTTTGACAATAGATAAATAAATTATCAATTATCCTGCAGTGGTAAAGCATCTTTTACACAAAGGATTTTTTTATTTTAGTCCCATCTTTAAAATTGTTATAAAATGAAGGTGTTTTCAACATTCCTGAAAAGCGTTTTTGTCTAAAAAATATTATAAATATTATAAATTCATTTTTTTAAATTCGCGATTTATCTTTCCCTACATTTTGTATACACAAAAATTTAAAAAATGTCATCGTATTACATTGAAGAGGATGATTCATTTACTACTACCACTAATATTAATGAGTCATTAGCGGAAATCAATTCATTAGCTTCTACTTCTAGTACTGCACACTCAAATAAAAGAAGCTTTATTTGGAATTACTGTGAAGACCTAAGACCACATGGATGGAAATGTAATGTTACTAAAGAAAATGGAGATATTTGTGGTCAATATTTTCCTAGCACAGCTACAAAAGGATCTACTACCAATACTATTTACCATTTATTAAGTCATCACGGTATAGTGAATCCAAAAACTGCAAATAAGGTATTTATGGATAAATTGATTAAATTGATTAATTAAATTGATTAAATTGATTATGTAGAATATTTATCACACTCTTTATCTAGTTTGTAAATGCGAATATGGAGATGATTCAATCTAACACAACTAACACACCACTAAATGAAGCTCAAATTAACTTCATTCTAAAAAATCTAATTGAATTCTTAATAAAAGATTCAATACCTTTCTATGTCTTGAAAAGTCACAATTTTCAAAAATTCATTTGCTCTCTAAATCCCCAATTCAAAATTCCGAATATAAACCTAATTAAAGAATCAATAACACATTTGTATAATATTTCATTTGATGAAATTCGAAACAAACTTCTCAATACCTGTCAATTTGCTTCTTTGACCACGGATTTTTGGACTGCTTCACACCAAAAAAAAGGATATATATGGGTATAACTTGTTCCTGGCTCTCTGAAGACTTTGAACTGATTGAGACACTGTTAAATTTATTTCATGTTCCCCATCCACACACAAGCTTAATTATAAAAAACTTATTAGTGGAAGAAATATCAAAATGGGGCTTAGAAGAAAAAATCACTGCTATTACAACTGATAATGGCAGCAATATGGTATCAGGTTCTAGATTATTAAAAGAAGCATTAAATATTGAAAGAATTTCTTGTGCAGCTCATACATTACAACTTTGTATTAAAAAAGCACTTAACTGTGATGATAATATTAAAGCATTAGTCCTAAGGGTGAGAAGACTTGCGTTATTTTTCAACTCTCTGAAACAGTTGGAGGCACTGTTTAGACAACAACAAAGATTAAGTGAAGATTATCCAGAAAAATTAAGACCAATATATGATGTAGCTACACACTGGAACAGTACTTATAATTCATGGGTGAGGTTGTTAGTTCTCAAAAAAGCTATCATCCTTTTACAAGCCAATATGATGCTGGATAATGACCTTGAAATTAAAAAAGATGGAAAAAAATTAGATAAATTATTATTAGCTGATAATGAGTGGGAATTAATCATAAAACTTGTTGAAATACTTAGACAATTCGATACAATAACAACAACACTTAGTGGAAGAGATTTTGTCACACTATCTTTAGTTGCACCACTAATCTTTTTTCTAAAGAACAAATTTTTAGAGTTAATTGTAATGAATGAAGAAAATAATAATGATTTTCAAAATGAAATAATTGAACTGATAGATAGTAATGAACTTTTAGAAGAAAGTGATGAAGCTTTACCATCATTATTAGAGGAAACCAATGAAGATGAAGTAGAATTATTTGAAGAAAATAATGGTGAAAGAAGAAGGAAAAAAATTAATATATCAAGACCTGTTCATAGTACAAGACTATATGAAAAAATTATCTCAACTTTATATAATTCACTAGATCATTATTGGTCTACTCCTTCTTCTTTAGCTGCTTTTGCATCAGCTTTAGACTCACGTTTTAAAGCATTGACATTTTTTGGTGATGTACAACGTAATGAAATTTTAAATTCATTAAAAGATCAATATAACCTATTAAAACAACAAGAAGAAGAGGAACAAATTAGTAATAGTCCTATTCAATCAAGAAGTGTAAGGTTGCCATTAAGAACTAGTTTCAGTGGTCAAAATAACGTTTTTGATGACTTATTTGATAATTTGCAACAATTCGAGCAGGAACAAGGTGAATTTGAAAAATATTTTAATTTACCAACAGCTAGTGTTTGCATAAAGGATCAACATGATATTCGAATATCAGTCACATGAGTGATATTCGGATAATGTCCGAACAATTCCGAATTAATACAACACTACCCTTTTCTATGGTGGAATGAGAGAAGAAATGAGTTGCCTATTATGTCAAAACTAGCAAGAAAATATTTTTGCATGAGTTGCAACATCAGTTCCTTCAGAACGTTTATTTTCCGATGTGGGAAATCATATAACACCTAGTAGAAATAGATTGTCACCTGATTTTGTTTCCAAAATTATTTTCTTAAAACGAAATTCATGAGAAATTAATATTAATGTATTAAACCATTTAATATTTGTTTAATAATTCTCTATTAATTTTATTGTTTGTATTATTTTTATTAATCATAAATATTGTCTTCGTTACACATATAATATAATGATATTTCATGATATTCATGATATTCGTGATATTCATGATATTCGTGATATTCGAATATCATGTTGATCCTTTTAAACAATCTATATAGTCATTAAGAATTACCCCTATTTTTAATCTACGACTCTCTCGTCATATGTCAAGATTTTTTTATGCGTCAAAGACATAAGCTCCGCTATTTTGAGGTTCAATTGTCTATTTTAACATGTAATATATGTATTCTGATTTGCTGATCCAAGTCACATATAATATCACTACTACATGTGATTGCCTGCTCTCTACAGGCGATCTCGGACAAAAAAAAAATTTCTGGTAAGTGCGAATATACAGTATATTACAACTACTATATTATACAATGTGTTATTGGATTTACATCGGCGATCTATGGTACTGGTTTTCCAGTAGATGATCGATTATTTCGTGACTTAGTAATGATAGTTATATATAGTTTTTGATTCAAATTTTTTGTTCATTTATTATTATTGCGGAACAATGAGGTTATGCCTCTATAAATTTAATATTATATAACATGTCTTATAAACTGAAATTAAAAAACAGATCGATGAATATAAAGAATATTTAATTGCAAAAGAAATACAGTGTGCTTCAAAAAAAAAAAAAAATGGCGCGCACAAAAAATCACATATCTCAACAATTATGCAAGGTAGATTAAACAAAATCAGATTCATTTGAAAGCTTATCAAATATTTTATCGAATAAAAAAAATTAATAAGAAATTATACCATTGTTTTTTTTTTCTAAAACCAACTCACATTCTGTTTCATAGACATAATAATATTTTTGACTGTTTCCCGAGGAATTCTTCAATAACATTCCTTGGCGTCCTTTTTTCAACATTTTTTATGATATACCACATATTTTCAATGGGATTAAGATCAGGACTGTTGGATGGCCAGTCTATTATGCAAATCCTTTTTTCAAGAATGAAGGTTTTTGTAACACGTGATGTGTGTATTGGATCATTATCTTGTTGCAAGCACCATGTAATAAACATATATATATTATCATCCAAACAAGTTACCCAATCGTTTTTTGTCATGTGAAAATTTTTAAAATAAATTTACATTTTGGTGTCATTTTTTTTGAAACACACTGTACAGTATATGGCGATAAGTTTGATATTTTATCCGTGTGTGGATCTATTGCCCCTGCAAATTTGTTTACTCATTTTCAGTCAATATATGCAACAAAAAATAGTTGACTACATAAATCTGAACACGAGCTTGCGAGTGAACAAGGCTAATAGAGTTATTTTAAAAAGTCATATAATTATGAACTTTGGCTCATTTAATACGCCCATATAAACAAAAGGGTTGGGAATTTTTTCCCATAAAAGAAATTTAGAATGTACCGATTTTTCCCCGTGTTCATATCTGGATCATTAATCAGAACTCAATATATATACCTCGAGAACAAGAAAAAAAGTAAAAATTTTTATAATCAAATATTACTCATCATGAAATTCAACCTAATCATTGCCATCATCTTTAATCTAACGATTGGTCTAACACTTGTGCCACTCATTGAAAGTAAATACTTTTTAAATGATCACACTTTGAAAAAAATTAATTGTATGTTCTAACAACACTATGTTTACTATACAGGTCATACAATTTGGGTCCATAACAAATGTGGACAGGTACATATGGCATGCTTTCAATCATGCAAAATGGATATGAAATAAGAAATGGAGGTTCATATGCTCACAATGGTTTTAGTGTTGAAGTGTATGATGATGTAAAAAGTTTTAACCTTTCATTCTATGTCCAGCTTTCAGGTGAAAAAGATAAGTATCGTGGACCATTCACAAATGACTGGGATTACGAATGGAAATTTACTGGTAGTGAAGATAGTTGGGATATTGAAGAGCTATCCTAGTAATATTCCCCTTTCTTATTTCTTTACTAAAAAATTTCTATCTAAATCATGATGTTATATTTTCATATTAACTTTACCATAGTTTAATCATTTCATTTTACTATAGTGCAGGACACCTAGTCCCACAACTTTTTATTGGTCTTGTATATCCTTTAGTATACCAAAAATGGAAATGTAACACCAAAAAAACAAAACATGATTTTGAAGCTAAGACCTTTCTCCACAAAGCTACGATTTCATT